TTCTTCTTTATTATTATTTTTGGGAAATATTATGTACACACCCCCTAAAAGGTATATACTATATGTCCCTTATAATTAAAAAAGAAATTTCTTACTTTTTGAATTATAACTATAAAAAAAATATTATAACCAAACACAACATGATGCATAACTAAAAAATTCATGAGTTAAATTAAAATAATGTCATAATTAAAAAAATTGGTCATAACTAAAAAAATGACATAATTAAGAGTGCAAATGGTATACCCCTTTGAAGGATGTGTACATTAGAATTTCCCTTATTAATTATTAGGAAAATATTTTGAACCTATATAAACCACATCACATAAAAATCCACTAAAATATAAAAACTAATCAATAAGGTTACGTTTGTTTGGCTCCATAGGATGGAGGGGATTAGGAATACGGCGGGATTGAGTGAAGAAATTATTAGTGTGGTGGTATTAGATTAAAAATGTAGGATAAAGAGTGTTTGTTTGTACGCAACCGGATTAGTAATACTATAAATAGTATTATTTTTTTTTTAATATTATATTTATTTTTTTAATACTTTTAAAGTACACTTAATTTAGAGACATTTAAAAAATATAAATTTTGCTTAAATCATTTAAAAATTTATTAAATATAAAAAAAAGATAATATTTTTTTAGTACAAAAAATCATATACTTAATCTTCGGTAATAATTTTTTAAAATATTTATTTCAAAAATAAATTATTTGAAAAACAAAATAAAAATAAAATATTTTAATCCAAGGGAATTGGATTACCGATCCCAACTCTCCAATGGGTATGCTATTCCTACCATTTGGAGGGATTGATAATCTAACTAGCTTAATAATCCTATAACATTTTAGTTCAATTAAATATATTTTTGATAGGTCTCACAGATTGTTAATTCAATCCCCTCTTCTAGGAGAGTAAACAAGCATGGCCTAAATATTGATCAAGTCATTAGAGTCCAAAATTAAGGATGCAAAATGGAGATATATTGGTACTGTAATTATTATTATGATTACAAATGGAACCCCTACCCTACCAACACCACTGGTAGTTGTGTTGTGGGATAAGAAGAATGATTCAGGCCTTCCGTCACTACGTTTGGCTATGATTACAAATGGAACCCCTACCCTACGTTCCACTAAGAATGATTCAGGCCTTCCATCACACACTAGTCTGCTTAGGCTACTGTTGATTTTTGTACATTAATAATTTTTCAGTTAATTCTTTTTACAATTAGATATGGTAATAAGTTTGACCGACATTTACATATATATATATACATGAGTTCCAATATTTTGTGTATAGTAATAAAAAATTATCGGACAATTAAAAAAAGAAAAATTCAGAGTTTAACTTTTATAACAAAATAAATTTTTAACTTTTAATTTTGTCAATTTAAATCTTAATCTTTTTTGTAGGTGTTGATTTTTTACCACATAACTAAAAGGTGAATTCAGCTGGAGAGTACCGGCAAAATAGATTAAGCCTAATAACTTGTAATAAGAAGATGAGAATACTGCGGAGGTTCGTCCACCTGGGGCATTCTGACGATCAAGTAAGTAAAACTTTATCTCTCACGGATAGCAAATAGTATTTAAACTCACAAGAAAGAACTTACTTTAGACCTATGAGGATACCTTACTTTTATAACCAGCAGTGACCTGATCCCCTAGAAGCCTCACTTCCTTAGACTTAGACTCAATGCTCATCTTGGACTCTCTGCTAGATAGGGATAAAACTCTTCATGAACTTGATCCTTATCCAAACCGAGACCTTCCCCTATTCTAAGGCTCTTGTCGCTTATCCGGATACCCGGATACCTCAAGATTCCAGCACGACTGCAGAACATCTTGGCAATGCCGTGATCACCTCGGTAACATGACTCATCTATGTGGCACCTTAGCCTACATCTCGGGCTCTCTTGACCACGTGGCGTCATTCGCAAAATACTTCTCCACAATTCTATTACCTCGGTTATCTGAGAGGATGGAACCTACATCGTTTGTTCACGTAACATGTCGTCTCAAAACTCTGTTATCACTTCGACCGATATCATGACTCGTCAACTTCAAATAACCAGGACTCAGTTGCCCACTTTATCAAGAATCAAGCACCACGAACCAAGTTCCCTAAGTATACTCTTCAAGGTCGCTCCTTTAGCCAAGGTTATTGCCTCATTATTTCAAGAATTTCAAGAGTTCTAACTGCGTATGAGCTATCATACGCAGTTGTTTCAACCGTTTCTTCCGCGTGTCATATTCCTATTGGTTCGTACCTGATATGCGCTATCAGATCACGTCATTTCTGCCCATACTGCCTGACAGGCACGTCGTCCAAGGCAGCTTCATTACTTTTTGCCGCCTTTTCGCAATTTTGACAAAACTCCCTCTTTCTCTCTCTTCGTCTTTTCACTTTCGCAACTTCAATCTTTCTCTTTGTCTCAGAATTTCTCTCTGTAAACTCAAAAATCTCCATTACTGCATTTTCGAGCTCTCTGCAACTACTTCGTTCATCAATTTTGGTGGGCATTATGCCGTTTCATTCTTGTGATCATCTCTGTCTAACTTTGGCGAACCTAAGTCTGACTCCATCTCATCGGCTCCATACAGTAAGTTCTTACTTTCCTCTTTCTACGTTTAGTTTCTCAGAATTCTTGAGTATGACACTGTTGTTAACTGTTTATACATTCCCGTTGTTCAAATTCTTCATTTATTCCCTAATTTACTTGCCATTTTTTCATGCTCTAAACATTGCAATTTAATGCTTGTTCTTCAGTAAACTTCCCTTTCTGAACTTGCCATATGTGTTATACTGTATCTGTTCTTGTGCTTGCGCTTCCATTGGATCTGTATTTGTGTATTCTATTCTTTCAAATGTATCTACTTTTTTTATCTTGCCTTGATTTGTTCAATATGCTTTGTGTTCTTGATTTCGTTTTCTTGTACCTTGTTTTTCTTTGAATATTGTCCATGTTCTTGAATCACTGTTCGAAACTACTGCATTTGTCACATTGTTACTTTTCTTTGCTTCTTTCTAAATCGTGTTTTTTTCTCTGCTTTTCTTGTTTGTTTCCAGATTCTTGTCCCTATATCTTGTTTGATTTTGGTAATTTGTTCATAGAACTATAATTGTGATTTTTCTTAGAATCCACATCCTTAGGAAAACTGAAACAAGAACTCCCCTATTTTTCCCAGAACTCTTGCCCTAGTGTTCACTAGGATTCAGCCAAGGTTCCAAACCCATTCTAAACCCTATTCTCCAGAAAACAGTACCCTAGTTACCTTAGCCGAGATCATGGGCATCTTTAAGTGGAGAGTAGACACCCCAACCAAGCTAGAATATTTCTGCCAGGAGTTCTCTATCCCAACCAACGTTAATCTCAGGTTGGCTGGTAAGAAGGACTCCATGATGCCCGAGGAGACCTATATGTCCTTTCTAGTGGTGTCTATAATTGATGGTGAATTCAGGTTTCCCTTAGACATCTTCTTTAGGGAGGTCATTCACTTTTACAAACTTAATCCCATGCAGCTAGCAGTCAATACCTTTAGGGTTATCAACGGTGTCACCGAATTGGCATGCCAAGAAAGAGCTAGGATAACCCTATTTGACCTTCAATACTACCTATACCATGTGTGGCCTGAAATCCAAAAGTGGCTATACTTACTACCTTAAGCCCAGATCCACCAAATACAAGCTCATAGCCGACCTTCCTGACTCCAATAAAGGCGTTGAAAATGATTATTTGATTGTCTCGGGAACTTGGGAGCTTGCACCAGACAACGATCTTCATCTCTACCCTCTGCGCCGAGAAGTTTTTAGGGAAGACGAGGGTAAGAACTTAGTCACCCTATTGTTGCATTTCTATTAACACTTGGTCATGTATTTCTACTAGCTGTACTAAATGTGTTCTCATTGTTTCTACAGCTTTTCCCTAATCATCAAAGAACTTTCGCCAGTTTTATACCCCGAGCTGAGATCTCATCAGGCTCCTCGGCCTTCCCGTTGAGGTCTGCAGGGCCCAACTCTTGTTGAATTACATCCCAACCTATCGGTTTCCACTCCCCGACATTCCACAAAGAAGCCAAACTCCACCATCTGCATCAACTCCACCAATCACTTTTTCTCCAAGGCCTGATCAGGCTTCATCCTCTAATCCAGTCAGTAAGCCATCAACATCAGCTTTAGCTCATCTAATTCCTCCCTCGCAACACTAATGCCAATGTCGAGCTCCAAACGTTTCTGCCGATCGAACCCGAAGTTAGAAGCGCCGAGATTCAGAGGCGTCAGCTTACGATCCAACAAACTCTCCCATTGCTCTTCCTGCCATCAACTTTGGCACCAACGTTATAGTTGCTGCAATCGCTAAGGAAATGGGATGCAAATAGGCCGTAGTTGAAGATTTCCTCGCCGACATTCCAAGCGTTGTTACTGTTTAGTCCTCCCCTTCTAAGTCCCAGCCCAAGCCAAAACCAAAGCAAAAACGAATAAAAAAGGCCAAGTCCAAGGCCACAGTAACTCAAGTACCTTCAGACTCAAAGAACACAGTGCCAATCTCTAAATTGGCCGACACTGTAAAATGGTAGCATACCTCCGAAAAGAGGCTTGCTAAGGCCAAGCCCTCCGACACACCACAATTGAAGAAGCCGAGATCCGAAGGTGCAGCGGGCCCAGTTGTTTACTGAGCCGATAAGCCCTAGGCCCCCACGATCGCAGTTGGGGACCGACCAATGACAGCTAGCGGCAGTGCCATTGACAGTATTAAGGTCGGTGTCGCGCTCTCTACCGCTGTTATCTTGCCAGTCGACATAAAATGTATGGCCTAGATCAACGAGTATGAGAACTTCGTATTAATGATGCAGTATTCCGTCTTGGTAAGTCTCCAACACTTGTACTTTCTGTCTAAATCTCTTACACTTAGAAATGTTACTAACTTGCTTGTTTCTTTTTTTCTTTCTAGGCCATCTAGCATGCTCACTCTTACACAGTGAAGGCTGAAGCCATGAAGAAGGAGTTGGTTAAAAAGACTCAGGACGCTACAAGCTTTCTGTCCTCCCTCAACAAGGTTGAGGCCAAGATCAGGGGATTGTTGGATAAGGCCAATGCTACCATAGCTGCTCAAGGTAAGGCCAAGGAGAGGGCTGAGGTCGCGAAAACTGTGGCCGAGGTAGCCAAGGCTAAGTCCAAGGAAGCCAAGGTCAAAGCCGCCAAAGCCGAAGAAAAGCTAAAGGGCACCTTGGAGAGTAAAGAGGCCAAGATCAAGGCGGCCGACAAAAAGGCCTATGCTAAAGGGCAGGTCGATGTGCAAGTGTAGACATGCCCGAACGTCACGGCTCTGCGCGCGAAATGGCGCGAAATCCGTTTTGTTCATTGAGCTACTATGGTTCGGACTCAAATGTCACGGTTCTGAATCTAATCTTGCAAAGGGCAATGCAAGACCGATAAATCACCAAAGAGTCGAAATCCGGCAAATCGTTTTGGAAAACTGATTTTTATAAAGAAGTGCTAAACATGGACTGCTTTGTCAGATACAGAGTCGCCACCTAAATGTTTTATCTTTGGAAAAATTTAAGAAACCCTGACTCGTTGCCTAAGGCCACGTGTCTGTCATCACCAAAGTTGCCTCGGCTCGGGAGATTAGGTACGAGAGGAGAAGGTCATGCAATGAGCACCCCCGCTCGCCCGATCAAAGATTGGCCTTTACTAACATGATATCTTATTTTTGAAAACACATGCGTTCTTATTCCAGTTATTAGCCTAGAATTACTATGTTATGCGTACAACACACAAGTATAGACTAGATCACCTAAGTTGGAACAAAACATCTCATGTTTGTTTGTTTGAAAATGATTTGAAGGTGCTACTCGCAAGTAGGCTAAGACGTGGATTTGCCACCCTCGAGTGGGCTTAGAAAAAATGATTTTGCCACTCTCAAGTGGGCTTAAAACTGGCATTTCGATGAATTGTTCCAATTCAAGTAATCCAACCTTCACCCACAGGCATTCAGGCAGTTATAGCAAATAAGCAACTAGCCTCATGGCAAGCATGCTATCATGGCAACATTAACACACATGCAGTATGCTAAAGCGTAAAAGCGTACCAATTACTCCAAGCCAAAACAATAGCTAGTTAGTAATCAATGCATGATCCTAGCTACGTTAAGACGGCTAATGCAACACATGCAAAATGCAACTAAGATAGGCTCGGCTATTCTAAGATGGCATATGAAATGTAACTTGATAACATGCTGTTGAACACGTATTCAAGTAAGTATTGACATACAATGCAGTTAGTATAATGCGCCGAGCCTGGTGCATGCAATACGAATGAATGTATGCAAACATGCAAGCATAAGAATGCTAATCAAAACATGACCTATAACTAACCATCGTAAGCGGTTAAGTAAAAGGGAGAAAGACGTGGGGTTGGAAGACATTCACACACTCACGCACACTTATTACAAAATTCACCCTCTCGACGGAAGGTCCGAATGAATGATAGCTAAGCTACGCTAAGCTAATTAAACTAATTATTACAAACCAACTGATCAAATGAATTAATTTAAGTTATAACACCAAATGCTAATTAACAAATAAAGCACTAAATCAGGCTGCCTCAGCTCTGCCTTAAACAAGGAAGGATGCATGCTCTTGATTCCCGTCCTGAAAAGCTCTCTAAATGCTCTTTAGAGGCTCTGTCTGCAGCGTGTCCTTGAGAACTAGCTGCTGGATCTTACCAAAACAGTGCTGGGGAGTGCACCAGTGGCCTGTCGGCCATGAGGAGCTGCTGCCGACCCCTCTGCCAACCAAGAGTGTATACTGTCGGCCACAAATGAAGATCTGCCGGCCAAAGACGGGAGGGTGCCGACCATTGGTGTGCTGTGACACCAAGTTGCAGCAGAGCACAAAATAGAAAAAATGGAGGGTCTCCCAAGGGTATGTATACACTATGCCACTCCATATCACCTCAAAACATCAAGGGAGAGGCATAATCGGATCCAAGACCATCAATTGTGCATCTTGATGCATGATGGCCAAAGGTCTAACATGTACAAATTTCAATAAATGCATGACAAATAAGACACCAAGACCATTTCCTTATCATGGGAAGTCAAAGGAAATGGAGACCAAGGGTGATTGGCTCACTTCATCACTTGAAGTATGAAATGAGCTAATCCACCTTGTGTTCAACGTAACACCCGATTGAACACAATGCAATGCACACACACAATATTTTATGCAAACAATCATGCTAATCTTGACATGCAAACATGCAATGTACCAAGCATGCAAAATGCAATGCAATCTAGACATGCAAACATGCAATGTACCAAGCATGGAATAACAACAAAACGGAGCAAGCATGCAACAACATGCAAGGATGGACATGCATGCAACAACATGCAAAGACAAGCATGCACCAAAATGCCAAAATGGACCTAAACTAAAATGGGTAGACCTCAATCTTGCCCAAATCAGGGGCCAAAATGATGAAATGATGACACGAAATACAAGACAAGCATGCACATGCTCTAGCCCACCAACTAAGCATAAAAGCATACCTCTCAAAAGTGCTGAAGGAGTGACAAATGTAAGAGTGTAGCAACCCTATAAGCACTGAAATAAGGTATGGAATGATGCCAAATCATTCAACCAGTACAAGCATGGCATGCTAGGGTCCTTAAAGCATGAAGCTAGTAAAGAGGACTACAAAGGAGGCATGCAATACATGGCACAAGCGCATTAAAAAACCATGGATAGAGCTTAGTTAGGTCTAAACAAAGACCAAAATATGCTAAGATGGAGGCTCAAGGACCTAGGCAAGATGACATACATGCTAGACCACAAGCTAGGCAATGATGCACAACACTTAAAGGCACTCAAAGTATGAAAGAAGTGAGAACATAGTCATGCTATAAGCTCTGAAATGAAGTATTAAATGATGCCAATCATCTAAATAGCTCAAAGATAGCATGCATGAGTCAACAAAACACAAAGCTAGCAAGGCCAATTGCACTATAGCTATACAAAGCATGAAGGATATGAAAAAGGCAACCCAAGATAATCCTATAACATGTCAAAATGAGTCTAGAACATGTATGAAAAGAAGCCAAAATAAGCTAACATGAAGGGCATAAGGCATAAGGCATAATGCATACAAGGCAAATAAGGTGGATTACACTACACCTATTAAGACCAAGCATGGGATGACTTAACCAGCAAAAATTGGAGTTATATCATGGCAAAATAACCCTAAATAAGCACTGAAATTATAGCTCACAAGCTTAGGCATAAAGGCATACACAATGACTCATGTTAAGGCATAAAGGACTAACCCTCCAACGCATTGAATAAGTGACAGATGCAAGTGCATGGCCATGAAACATGGACTGAAATCACATTATAAATGATGCCAAAGCATTGAAATAGTCCAAGTAATGCATGCTAGTGGACTTAATGCACAAAGCTAACAAGGTAGAGTGCATTATAGCTATACAAAGCAAGTCATGCATGGCCAAAACAACACAAATCAGAGCTAAATCATGTAAAAACATGGATAGAAGCTTCTCGAGGTTAAGCCAAAAGCATGCTAGAATGACATGTTAAAGCATGAGATACATTAGGCTAATTCATGGAATTGCACTACAAGTGCATGGAGCATGCAAGGGCCAACCAAACCAAACCTTAAAAGAGGTATGGCATGGCAAAACATCACCAAAAACATACTAAAATAGAATCAAATCATGCTAAAAAGGCATGCTACTTCATGAAGCATGCAAGACTAGTTCGTGAGAAATACACTACAAGTGTATAAACCATGCAATGAGTGAATCTACCAACCAAAATCAAAGTTATAACATGTCAAAATAACACCAAAAACATGCTTGAACTAAGCTAATTTCAAACCACAAAAGCATGCTACTTTGTAAGGCTAACAAGGCTAGCAAAGAGGATTTACACTACAAGTGCAATAAGCATGCAAGAGATGACTAAGACAGCCAAAAAAAGAGTTATGGAAGGTATGATAAGTCACAAAAATTAGCCTAAACAAAGCCATAAAGAAGTAAAAACACATGCTCATTTGGTTAGCCATCAACACTAGCAAGTAAGACAAGAGGAGAGGGGACCACCCTCTCCTATTTGGGACCTCAAAATAGGGTTTTTACCACTGAAAATCCTCTGGATTTAAGTGGTTAAAAGGCCACAAAAAGTTGCTTTGAAAGGCCTAGGAAGATGGCTCAAAAGCTATACAAGCTAAGGAACAAAAGGGAGAGACAACCCCCTAACACAAAATAGGCCTAAACCATCATTTTTAGGGCTGAAAAACAGAGTTTTCTTTAGTTCAAAACCAAGCCAAAATCAGTTTTCAAAGGTGGTAAACAAGCATGCAAAACAAAGCTTTAGAAGGACAAGTGCTTACCCTTGAAGCCAAACAGCAAAACAGCAAGATTTTTGAGTTAAAACCAAGCTTTAACAACCCAAAACAAGTTCCAAGGGACCTCATCCCAATGGTGATCAAGTCTTCTTAAGGGTTGATAGGTTGAAGATGGATGTATGCAAGCCTTCAAGCACAAAAGGGCAAGGGAGAGTGAACTTTAGAAGAGAGACAGAGATTAAGCTCTGAAAGTTGTAGAGAGAGAGAGGGATTTTAGTGTGAGAAGCTCCCAAAATGTTCTAACCCTTGAAAACAATAAATAAGGCCTCCATATATAGCAAAAAGAGAGGTTTGGGTCGAAAATATCTCAAGAGAGACAACTGGAGCAAGCTAGAGCAAAATATCTGTTCAAAAATGATCTTTTCATCAATGGCTGGCACCTTTACCATTGTTGGCTGGCAGCACACTATTGTTGGCTGACAGGGGTCATTCTTGGACGGCATTGGCCATTCATGGCCGGCACACTCCCATAGAGGCCGGCAACAAAAATCAGTCATAGTCCTCGAATTGAAGCAAGCCTAACTTCTTCATATGGATGCCTTTTCAGGTCATTCTTCTGTGAAAATTGAAGCCCGAGAAGTAAGCTTTCCAATGGTGGTAGCCTTGCATCAAAATTCCAATTGTGAAAAAAGTTATGCCTGTTTTGGTGAAGTCACGCAGTTTCGGTCCTACCCGGATTCATGCCGAACTTCTCCCAAACTAGTTTTCTTCTCTCATTTCCCAATTTTCTTCAACTCCAAACCCCTAAGTAAGGTGTTTTGAAATATTTTTCAAGGATTTCACCTCTCTCTCATTCATTTCCACTTTGTCCTTGCTCGGTTTACCGAAAGGCGCAACTTTTAACAAAATACGAGCGTCGGAACATCGTAGAAACTTCTTTCAAAAATATTTTGAAAGAGAGGGTTTTAAGGTCTAAAAACCATTCAAAATAGCTTTGGTCCAAAATGAGGTGTAAGGTTAGGGGGTTTGACTCTCTTCTTGCCAAAGAAATTAAACCTTTGTCTTGTACATCTTTCACCACCCAGTAAACCATCAGTAGTGCCCAAGTCTTAAGGGCGGTCAAAAATAGGGTGTCTACAACGAGATGCTTATAAAAAAAAGGTCAATATGGCTTACAGCAGAGGCTATTATCTCGGTTGGATGGTAGCCCTTAACAAGCTATTTGTCCCTGAGTACTCGCCCCTCTACGACATCGGCCAGCTCAGTGTTCTTTTCCCTCCCTCTCCCACTTAGTCCAGCGATGAAGCCGGATATGAGGAAGTCGAGGTCGACGAGGCCAATGAAGAGGTGGAGGTTACTGTTGGGGCCAAGTTCCCTACTTTGAATGATCAAGTCTTGGACTTGACTAAAGAAGATGGGGATGAGGTCTCCAAGAACACCTCACCAACCAAAGCTGATGATGAGAAGTGCCTCGAGGCCACACTTCTGGAAATCGATGCCGAGGTCACGGACGAGAAGTCTGCTACATTGCTTGCCGAGGCTGAAACACTGCCAATAGCCAAGGTTGAACAACCTGAAATCAACGCAGAAGATCTTGCCCTGTTTGATTGGGGGATATAAAGATTGGGATTGGATATTATATCCGGTGGGATCCATATATCCCATGTTTGCAATTTTTTTTTGAAGGGGATATAATATCCGGTGGGATTGTATATCCCCCAAAAGTGGAGGATATACAATACCACACCCCCCCATTATATCATATCCCCTTGGTGGGGATATGATGTAAAAAGTCCAATTTACCCTTTTTTCTATCTAACATAATATAATTTAATATATTTTTTTGAATTTAATATAATATAATTATTGAATTTAATTTAATATTATTGAATTTAATATAATATAATATTATATTATTTAATTTAATTTAATTTAATTTAATATAATTTAATACAAATTTTGAATTTAATATAATATAATATTATTTGAATTTAATATAATATAAATATTATTGAATTTAATATAATATAAATATTATTGAATTTAATATAATATAAATATTATTGAATTTAATATAATATAAATATTATTGAATTTAATATAATATAAATATTATTGAATTTAATATAATATAAATTTTGTTATTAATTATTATTATTTAGGTAAGTTATAATGTGAGTTAGATATGTGATAGACATGTGAGTTTTATTGATTTAAAGTATGATGGTGAGAGATTTTTTCAAATTAGATTTGTTTAGATAAATTTTAAAGATTTTTAAAATTTAAAATTGGATATTGAGATGCAGAAGAAAGATTTTAACTGAATAAATAAAAATTAAATTTATTAATTTTATCTATTTGTATATCTGATTTTTAATTAAATTTTGAATTTAATATAATATAATATTATTTAATTTAATTTAATTTAATATAATATTATTGAATTTAATTTAATATAAATTTTGAATTTAATATAATATAATATTATTTAATTTAATTTAATATAATATAATATTATGAGGGCAATCTTGGAAATTACTTGTTATATCCCACAATATATTTTGTAAAACAAACATGCATAACATATATCCAATCTTATATATCAAGTCAACAAACATGACTTGGGGGATATACTATCCAATATTTATATCTTATTCATTATATATCCTGACTAAATCCCACATCATATTATATCCTCCATTTTATATCCAACGAAACAAACGGGGCCTTAGTGCTTATGAGGTGGTTTTTTTTTTCCCTCTTCATTGTACTTTTTCCTTTCAGTAGTTGTAGTCTTTTCTACTTCTGTCGGGCCAAAGTGCCATCTTTTTGTAATTTGATCAAGTTTTTTCTATGACTACAAGTCTTACATTTTTCAATGCATGCTTCTGTTTGTCTTCTAAAGTGTTTGAATGCTTTCCATATATGCCCATTGCCTTTTTTATATGCCTTGCATATTCCTCCATACTTGGAATTTTCTTGGCTTTCCAAGTCTGGCAACTTGGTTACTTACCTCAGACATGAGTATCTCAGATACATTCACACCTCGGAGTTTGATCATACTAATCATCTCGGATAACAACTTGGTTCCTCACCTCAGATTCGAATATCTCGGCGTACAATACTTACAAAATTTTCTCACCAAATTTTTGCAAGTGTTGTTTCTTCACTCGTACTAATAGTCTTTTGGCAAGACTGCACCCTTCCAAGCCTAACAACCTGGTCGGTTATCTCAGGCACAAATACCTCGGTTCTCCTTTCATTCGATTATCTCAAATAACTTCTACTTGTAAAATTTTTCAAAAATTTGTGATATGCTCATTCCTATCTTCCTCCTAATGTGAACCTAAGTACCACTCATATTCACATTAAAGATGCATCATCTGGTTGCCGCCTAAGTCCCACTTAGGCATTCTTGACCGAGGTTATCATGTTTGGTTCACCCAAATAAAGCACTTAAGGCTTAACCTTAGTGCACCGAGAGTATCATACTTCGCGACTTTCCAAACTGACTGTAGACACCCCATTTTTGATTGCCCTCAAGACTTGGGCGCTTTGTCCCAAGCACTCGATGATGAAGTTACATTTTCAATGGTTCAAATTCTCAATGAAGGAATCCGATTTTTAGCTCTCAAAAACATCTCAACCTTTCATACCCAATCTATACATGTATACCACAAAAATCCATTTTTCAGTACCATGCCAGCATACACTAAGCTTGAACCAGAGGAACAGGGGAGCCACATTTGGGCCCCGCCGTGCTTCATTTGGGGTCGATCGTGGCAATTCAGGGTCGGTCGTGCCTTTTGGATGAGAAACACTGTTTTGGGTAGGAATCCGCAAGCTGTCAACTTTTGAAGATATTTGTGACCTATTTGGCTTAAATTCTATAAATACAAGCTGATGCCTCAATGTTGGGGGTTAGAAAAATTTTAGAGAAGCCAAAACACCTTTGAGAGCTCCTTCATCCTTTGCAAGATATCTTTGAGATATTATATCATCCTTGGATCATATCTATACACCATATACACCCTTAGAGCTGAACCTTGGAGCCTTGAGAATCATAATTCAACATTGAGAGTGTGCTAAGATCAAGTTTAGGTTACAATCAAAGCTTACTCTCTTCAAGAGGTATAAGCTTGTCACCTTTTTCCTTACTTTCATTATAGTCTCTTTCTATCTATTTCTTGTCTCTTTGTGCTATTTTGGATCCATTTCAAGTGTCAGAACTTGGGGTTGAATAGCTACTAAAGGTAGAGAGGCTTAACACCCTTTCTTGCACCTTATTTCATAGCTCATTCCCTTTGTTTTACCACTATTTTTCTTAGTCTACAAACTGATTTTCAGAGTTTAAAAGGGCTAAAAAACATGGTTTAGAAGTCTCAAAAGTGGAGGCGTTAGCCACCCCTTCTTACTCTTGTTTACTAGCTTTGTGCCTCTTTGTTTTTGCCTATCTTTTGTGCTCTTTTAACATGGTTTTAGCTACTGTTTTTTTGCACTTTAGAGGCTGTTTAGGGCTATTCTAATTCATTTAATTAGTTTATGCTTTGAATACTTTGCTTATTGTGTTGTACGTCGTCATGGCTTTGGTTGTTTAGGCCTTAGACACCGAGTCATTCGAGTCGATCTATGTAAAGAGTTTTTTTTTTTTTTTTTTGTTAAGAATCAATTTCGCATAATCATTTTTGCGCCCTCCTTCCTTTCTTGGTTTTCTTTGTCTAAAAGTTGTTTCAAGCAATTGATTGTTATTCAAGGCATGAGAGAGAGACCTCCTATGCTCAATGGCTTAATCTCTTCGGAGGTTTATCGTCAAGGCATAGTCTCTCTTTCATGCTAAGAATCATTTCTCACTTGAAATTTCTCTTCATTTGGTGGACTTAAATATCACTTTGGGACAAAATGATTAAGGAATGAAAAGGTAAGTCAAAATTGGCTTAAAAGCAGTGAAACCGACATAAAGAGGATGAATAAAATTGGTTAGATTCGGCCGGACGTTATGCCTAGTTCATCCCACCAAGAGTCATCATATATTAATTCATGACATTTTGATGAATTTTGAGGTATGTTTACCTCCTTCTTTGAGCTAACTTCATGATAGGAGGGAGGGGTGGTTATCTTTCATTGCATTTATTAACTTTTTGTCCAAACATGCTCGAAATCATCAGGCAATCAACTCGATGCCATTGATGGTTTTGGGACCGAATTTGTTCTTCTTTTGTGTGTTTCCCATGATAGAAAAGAGCAGAAAAGACAAACAGGGCTTAGAAAAGCTCTGTCTGCACTGTTTTCACCCCAGAGCATAAAAATATTTTTTGCTTGAAAATAGGGCACGATCAGCCTTGTTTGGACCGGGCCGGGCCTTATAGGGGACCGGCTAGGCTCCAATGTTTGGTAAGCAGAGTACTTCTGGCAAAAATAGAAGGCAGTGGCTGAAGGTGAAACAAAACAATTGCACAGAGGGCAAACATAGTAGTTTCTACAAATGGCCTTCATTGACGCGCATATGATCCTTGTACATCTCCTCTTGTTTCGTTATTATTGCAAGTAGTGTTGTAATTATTTTTGTAATTATTGTTGTAATTAGTTATAAAGCCCTTGTTGTAATAAATTAGTAGATAGCTAGTTTAGTATTCATTCAAACTTGTAATAATTAGTTAGTGTAGTTAATTTATTTCATTTGGTTTGTAATAGCTAGTTGATTTGGTAATTAGCTAGGGCATTTATTCGGACCCTCTTGCATGAGGGCAAAATTGTAATAATGTGTATGTCTTTCAATCTCTATTTTTTTCTCATTTTTATTTACTTGCTTATGATGGATAGTGTAAAGCATCATGTTTCTTTTTAGCATTTTTCATGATTTGCATCCATTTGTCTCGCATGCATAAAGTTCGGTTCATCATTCTAACGGCATTATCATTTATTACTTCCTTGAATATGTACACCACCGCATGCTATCAAAGTGATTCATATGACATGTTAGATAACCGAACCTATTAGTTGTATTTTTGTATGAATGGCATTAGTCACTTGCATATTAGAACATTCATTTTTCTAATTATTTTGTTTCTTTCAGCTTGCCTTGGAGTACTAGGTGAGCATTTATTACTTTAGCATATTGCATAAGTGTGATTGTTGCCATATCAAGCATATTTTCTATAAGGCTAAGTGCTTAAGTAATATACTTGTTTGAATGCCTGTGGATGAAGGCTAACTGCTTAAGTTGGGATAACTTGACGAATGTACATGTGATATCAAATTTTCAAGTGGTACATATTCAAAACAATTTTCAAACAACATAAAATCAAAGTGTTCCAACATTTGCAAATTAGTCTATACTTGTGTGCAACACATAGTAAATTAGCCTAATAAATCGGAATAAGAGCATATAATGTAAATAAGAATTACATCATGATTAGTAGAGACCGATCTTTGATCGGGTGAATGGGGTGCTCAATTCATGATCTTCCTTTCTCATACCTAAGTTCTTGAGCCGAGACATTTTGGTGATGACGGACTAATGGCCTTTGGCACGAGTCTTGAGTTTCCTAAATTTTTCAAAAATATTTAGGTAGCGACATTGTAATCTGACAAAGTAATCCATTTTTGGCATTTTGATTCAA